TATTATTATTATTTTTATTTATTTACATTGTATCAGGAAAAACCAGTCAATTTGTCATTTAAATTAATGTAATATTAGTTTATTAACAATTATTTTTAGTAGTATTAAAGTTTGTTATTGTTACTATATTACTGTATAACTTGGTGCTATTTTTCTTTTTTTACAGAAACAACGCAGATATTACGAAGTTGACCGAGTTTGAGATACGTTTTTTTGTTTCTTGCTATATATATTGATATAATTTTTATTAATGCTTGAATCAAATAAAAATCTATGGAATAAGTGTAGTCAATAGATTAGTTTCGCATACATTTTTTTTTCTTGTCTGTTATGTTTCCATTTATCATAAATGTTCTGATCATGTTATAATATTGTAAAGGAAATATGTATTTCCATATTTATATTCCATATAAAATTATCAATACATTGATAATTGCATGCGGTACCGGTACATTTTAAAAGCCTTTTCATGCTTCTGTTATATTCATAAGCCCGAGAAAACCACTCAACTTGCTAGGCCTATTTCTTTAGTTGCATAACTGGAGTATAATTGTGGAAAGAAACGTTTCCACATAGTTATTGCCATGTTACTCTTAAGGCGAAGATGACACAAGTTTTGTGATTTCTTGTTTGGCGATTAGCAGAATTAATATACTGTATGCAGGCCTAAATTGTATTATACTAGTTTACATTGATTGACAGTACACCGATTAGAAATAGAAAATATGCAAGCGTCATGAGAGGGAACTGTAGTAGACAAATGAGGGTGGTGGCAAATAAGGGGTGCCTTGTTATGCGGTAGACAGATTGAGATGGTGCCAGTGGAAAAAATAAACAAATTCAACGACGATGATGATGATGATGATGATGAGGATGAATGAAGTGGATTATTGATGGATAATGGATGAGGATAGATGATATATAATATATATATTATATATTAAATAAACAGTAAAATATCATAAAAAATATTTTTAATAAATCACTGAAAAATATATATTACCACAACAGTATCCGCCGGCTAGGTTGTCAACACATAGCCCATCATTCTGGCAAGGAGAACAATCACATGCATTGATTGAACTTCCTAAAATAATATGTTTAAATATCATTTATTGAATAAATTTTACATAATGTTCTTGTTATGGAGTATACAGGGTTCTAATATAGCATGCATAACAAAACGTTAAAGCCCAAGTAATTAGTGGAGCATTATTAATTTGGTTTACTTTACTCTATGCAATTCAATTATCAAAATAATGCACACAAGAGAATAAAACCACCAAAACACTATAAATTGTTCTAATTTCAATGAATATTTATAATTAGAACATCTGTATACAAAGTTAGAGTTTACAAGACCATTGAACGTAATTCCAGACAACTTTTACTGTGATGCAGTATTGAACACTTACAGGTCAGCAACTATATAATAGGTCCTATTCACCTTTTGTGGACAATTAATGGTCATTTTAAATCTTTTATTCGTGATTCATTGTATAATTAATTTGATTCTGATATTGCGGCATGACACAATGCATTTGTGTCCTGGATTGGAGTGGCAAAAAATCAGTCATAATGTCAAAACAAAAAGTACCACCTAACATATGTAACATTATGTAACATAATAGATATACTATACAGTAAACCTCATCAAAATAGGTCGATTACTCGGAGTACATATTTTTAATGCAATAACGACAAGATGTTTGTTATGATGTAATTTAAAGTAAAGTACTGTAATATTAATAAAAAGTCAGGACCAGTGTTGTAAACTAGGTAGTTGTTTGTTTACCGTTTCACCTTGTAAACACAAGAAGATAAAGCAATGTTTACCTGTACATGCAAGTTGGCACTGTTGAATTGTTTCAAAGTTGTTACTATTGCCATCACAATAATATGCAAAAGGTAAACAATTTCCAATTATGTGATCGTAATAAAATCGCAATATTGGGTCTCCTGCTGAACACATTCCTGAGTCAACAGGTAACATACAATCCCCTGTAAAAGGCAGAAATCAGTATAAGTAGATTTCATTACTAATGTATTTTTGTACAGGCTGTGCTAAGCAAGATACATTATTTTGATATTCTTCCAACCAGTGAAATACCATCCGTATGTTAAACAGTTTTTCAGAAGAAGTTTACCTGCTTCCTAAAAGTATTATTTAAAGTATTAAATTATTGTGAAACTAAAAAAATAAATACCTTGTCCTGATGTCTTACAAAAGCTTTGTAAAACAATGAAAGCCAAAAGTAAACTATGCATAGCAGTATTTATATGTTTTCCATTAAATGTTGAAAACCTCATAAAAATACTCATAATACTTCATATGATTCGCTGCTTTAAAATCTTCCACTGGTAAAGACCGTTCAATGAAATGAATGAAGTAATATCTATTTAAAAAACAAATATATAAATTGGGAGTTACTTTTAAAAGGTACACAACTTATGACCAGAATTGACATACATTTATATACTCATTCATTCATTATTCAGACTTAATTATTGGTACATAAAATAAGTCAACGATCAACAAAAACAACAAAAATCGATGTTTTAAAGTAAAGCTGGTCGGATTGTTTGTTTTAAAGTGGAGTATAAAGCCGGACAATCACTGCGTCGTACGACGGTCGCACGACAAATCCAACTCCGTTCTCTGTGATCGATAGACAAAGCGACACCGTCTGCGGATTTGTCGGTGGCGTCTGAACGGATCGAAATTAAAAACTATCCGTTGCGTTCTTCGCGTCGGCCGACGACCGTCGTGCGCAGTTGAGTGCCCGGCTTTAGGCAAAATAAAAAAAAATTACTGTGCTGACCACGCCCGACCGACCAAAAATGTATGAAATTGTGGTTCGGCATTGATTTAAAAAATGGTCTTGGTTGTATCTTCTACATTTTGGGCATAAACACATTATTGGTAAAAAAAAAATAAACAAAACCTTTACCCGCAGACCTACCAATTTCCTAAAAAGTGGCCAAACAAGCATTTCTTTTTTATTATTCCCCACTCATCAGATTTTCCCTCCCCATGTCAATAGGCCCTACTCTACGCCAGAAAGAAATAATTCTTATAGTATTCTAAAATATAGATAAACTAAATTATTTACGTGAGATTACAGATACTTACCAGTAGTGCTTTTGAGAAACATGGCCTCATCATATAAGCTACAGTGCATAACGTTTTAGCAGTATGCATAAACACAATAATAAGGATAAGAAAACAAACTGTGGTCTTTTGATATTCATGCTAAGAATAGTTTATATTAACACTTTTCTTGTTAAATGAACTATAACGAACCAACAGAGGATCTACAGCGTAGTTACAAAAGCTCAGTAGAAGAGTGACACAAAATGGGTGTGCGGTAAAAATGACACCGGTAAAAATTTCCCCAAATGACAGGTAGGTAGGGAGTCACTCAACCGTAACGAGCTGTTTACGACACAGCCAACTGACGAGAAAATTCTTCGCGTCGCGACCGGAAAATTGAAAAATTGGGAATATTGGCGGAAACATTTAATAATAATAACAAGTCGATTGCATTTTTGAAGAATGAATCTTTAAAGGATAAGGAAGTCTTGGAAGTGGTGATCTTAGAAGTGGCGTTAAATAGGTTTGTTTAGTGGCGGATCCTGGGTGGGGGGAGAGGGGTTCAAGGCGTTCGGACGAACCCCCCCCCCCACCATCCCTCTATGAAGAAACAACAAAACTACTGGTCCTGGCTTACAAAAGGCATGCTAACCTACCAATTAGGCATAGTCTTAGGCTTAGCCCAACAGCTTTCAGTTAAATCAGGGGCGGATTTAGGGGGGAGGCGGCCCGGCCCCGCCACACCCCTTTTGAGAGGTAAAAAAAAGAAAAAAAAAAAGAAAAAAAAAAAAAAGAAAAAGAAAAACGATAACCCAGAACACCTCAAATGTTATTTTCGGGCGTCTAAAACACAGAAATTTTGCGGGGGCATGCCCCGGACTTCCTATTTCAGTGTTGTCTCGATCGGCCCAAATTTCGCTCCCCCTGCCTTTCGCCCCCCCTTTTGGACATCTCTGGATCCGCCCCTGCTTAAATAATATTAAAAACACTGTTTTTGGTTCGACGTCGTACTAATTTATATACAAAAGTGCGTTCTTCAGGCCTATCGGTTCATTAATCCATGGAAGAAAAACTACGTATCCAACTGGGCCTATATTGTTGGAATATAATAATATACAGTATTGCCTATGTCTTTTTTTTTTCTCTATGTATAGGCCTAAGAATGAGATAAAAATCACCTGACCTTTAAGAGAGGGAAAACCTCGAATTTTGAAGAAATAAAAGGTCATTAAAAGATACCTTAGAGTCAGAAAAACTCATTTCTGGCAATTTAGGAATCAATATTCACACCCCCCCCCCCTCTTTCAAATCCTGGCCGCTCCTGTTTGTTACCATCTTGTCCTACCTGTAGTGCAATACTGTATGTATGAAATTATGCTTACCATTAATGCATGCTACATACTACGGAAGTCAAAATTATACCAAAAAAGCATAATTATTATGCTACAAATGGCCACTATGTTACTCAGTTCTTCGTTATTAACATGTAGAAGTGCAGGGGCGGATTTAGGGGGGGGGGGAAGGCCCGGCCCCGCCCCCCCCCCTTTTTGGGAGGTAAGAAAAAGAAAAAAGAAAGAAAAAGAAAAAAATGATAGCCCACAACGCCTCAAATGTTATTTTGGGGCGTCTAGAACACAAAAATTTCGCAGGGGCATGCCCCCGGACTTCCTAAGTCACTGTTGTCTTGATCGGCCCAAATTTCGGCCCCCCCTGTCAAATCCTGAGGTAATTAGAGCGTGCACTAGTGTAGCTGCAGTTTTGTCATTCACAACTCTTTCCTGATTTTGATTGCGAATAATGTTGAAATACCGTACTGTACGTAGATTTGCAGATGCTCTTGACGTTGATCATCCATGGACAACGTATTGTTATCGAAGCAATTGGTCGAATACTATTCCGAGGTTACGAGCACTAGGAGAAGAAGCAGTACTCACTGTTGGAACAGATTGTGAAGCAGGTGGTTGTGGTATTGGGTTGATTTTGAAGGTACAGGGGTGTATCCAGGATTTTGTGGGTGGGTCGTGATCATAATTTTTTTGGACCTTTTCACAATGAAATAACAGCAAGATGGGATTAAAAATCAATATAATTAAAAAAATAAAACATAACTTGGTGCCGAATTGACACACATTGAGGAGTACGTTCATTCCTTGGAATTGAGATAGATTACGTCACGCAATTGGCAAGGTAATTGGACTCATTACTGGTACCTCATCAATGCTTTTTCATTTATGTCATTTTGAAAAGGCCGTAGAGAAAAAAAGTCTTTGGGAAAAAATGTGGACCTTTGATTATTTTTTTTATTGGGGGGGGGGGGGGGGGTTTATACACCCATGAGGTATGAACTCTGTTTTATTGTCATTGAGCCTTAGTCATTCAGACTTTGATATCAGTAATATATATTTCCATTTGTTTGCGGGCATTAGCTTCAGATCCATAACAGTGTAGATCAAAAAATAAGTAAATTTGTGTGTCGTCCGCATACATACAGGAACATTCATTCCGTGATTATGAGCAATATTAACGATCGCGGTGCAGAATAGATTGTGAGAAGTTGTGGT